AGTCTTATTTATCAAAAATTTGCTAAATAGCCTGGGCGAGGTGGCTCACACCTGTAATCCTAGCACTCTGGGAGGCCGAGGTGGGAGGATCACTCAAGGTCAGGAGTTCAAAACCAGCCTGAGCAAGAGCGAGACCCCTGTCTCTACAGAAAAAAAAAAAAAGAAAGAAATTAATTGACCAACTAAAAATATATATAGAAAAAATTAGCCAGGCACGGTGGTGCATGCCTGTAGTCCCAGCTACTCTGGAGCTGAGGCAGAAGGATCACTTGAGCCAGGAGTTTGAGGTTGCTGTTGAGCTAGGCTGACGCCACGCCACCACTCTAGCCGGGCAACACAGGAGACTCTGTCTCAAAAAAAAAAAAAAAAAAGCCGGCGCGGCTCACGCCTGTAATCCTAGCTCTTCTGGGAGCCGAGGCGCGCGGATTGCTCGAGGTCAGGATTCGAAACCAGCGCTGAGCAAGAGCGAGACCCGTCTCTACTATAAAATGAAGGAAATTAATGGCAACTAATATATATACAAAAATTAGAGCGGGCATGGTGGCGAATGCCTGTAAGTCCAGCTACTCGGAGGCTGAGGCAGCAGATTGCTTGTAGCCCAGGAGTTTGAGGTTGCTGTGGACTAGGCTGACGCACGGCACTCACTCTAGCCTGGGCAACAAGCAAGACTCTGTCTCAAAAAACAAAACAAAACAAAACAAAAAAATTTACATATAACATAATACATGTGCATATACAAAAACACATTTAACATATATACATATACATACACAAAAATCTAATATTTTTTTCTACCTCTAAATCCAGCTGTGATATAACACCATAAACTCACCAGTCTGCAAAAGGTGGCTGAAATCCTGTGCTGGAGAGCTGATAGAACCCCCTCAGAGTTGGGGGGTTGAGGAGGCTCCATTGTGGAGCACAGGCCTCTGATGGGGGCTAAAAGAGGATCTAGGATGTCTGGCACAGTTTCTCAGGACCTGGGATAGAGAGCCATAATAACCTGTGCATAAGGAATTTCTACCCTTTTTCCTTCCTTTTTATAGAATAAGTCCAATCCTAAAATTGTGTTATAGTTTAAAGAACCATTTTTGGGCCAGGGTTCCTGGTCTCCACATTGGTATTAGGGCCAGGCAGTATTGCAATAGAAAATAAGCTTCTTTCTTTTTAGACCTTCTAAATTAAATTTATCCCAGCTATTGAGGAGGCATCCTAGGGGGAATCCTTTGGGATGCTTGTCTCCATTTCTGAACACGATTTCTGTTGGACACGGGGCTTCCCTAAGCCTGGCGAAGAACTGATATTTTGTCTCTCAGAATCCCACCTCCCCTTTTCTTCTAAGAAAGTCAACAAGGCAATATAGTCGCCAAACCTTGCAAGGTCAAGATCAGCATAATTTGAGAAAGCACCAAGGCCAGAGGGTAAAAAATAGATCTGTGCAGAAGAACGGAGGCTGTGTCCTCTAGGATAAGGAACACAGCAAAATAAATGTAGCAAGACACAGATTACAGAATTAGGGATGAAAGTAGGTGTCCCTAAGGGGCCTGTTTTAGCACTTTAACTTGGGGCCACTGAAACAGTATCTCTGGCATCCCAGAGTCACCACAATAGGGGATCTCTATTTAACAAAAAGAAAAGAATTGCCAAATGAGCAGGAAAAATTACCTGTTTTACAAAGAATGGAAACAATCACCCAAATAGCTAAAGCAAAAAGTGTAATCACGGCTAATGAAATAATGACAGACATGCATTTATGCACTAAGACCAAAACAGGTCAGTGAGTGACAATCCAAAACACAGAAGAGATGGAAAAGGAAAGACAAAAGCAGACAGTGAATTGTTGGACTCCTGCTCAGTTGGATTCCCAAGGCCGGAGTCACCCAGTATTCATCAAGTACTTCAATCTGCATGGCGTGGAGATTAAAACTCCTGCCACGCCATTACCGTTACTGGGGAAGTCGTAGTTAGATGGATGGAGTAAGTTTATGTCCTTTAATTCAAAGGAAAGTCTCGGCCAGGCGTGGCTGCTCATGCCTGTTAATCCTAGGTCTCTGGGAGGCTGATCACTTGAGTGATCTGTTGTCTCACTGTTGTGAGACCCTGTCTCTACTAAAAAGAAAAAAAAATACATAAAACAGAAAGCAAGTCTTGAGAACAGAGTCAGAAAGAGATGGAAATGAAAGAATCTGACACTTTAGAAGACAAGAAGACGGAAAAGAAACCAAACTAGACAAAGGCAGACTTATTGGTCCCTGGGGTTCTGGATAGTGCCATGGTTTTAATTTGGGGTCTGGGTGGGGGTGTCCCTTCATCACATCTGAGTTGCCACAAAGATTACACAGGAAAGAGACTCCCAGTGCTGGGAATCACTTGAAGTCCAAGTGGGTCCTTGGCTTTGCGCAAGAAGGAATTCCCAAGCGAGCCATTGGTATAAAGTGAGAGCAAGTTTTATTCAGAAACTACAGAAAGTCTACTCCACAGGCAGGGAGAGGCTGGCGCTTCCCGTGGAGAACTGGCACTGCGGTCCTTGGGCCCCTCTGTTTAAGCAACGGCTCAATTATAGTGTAAGCAAGGGGGGATATTCATGGCATTTCCCTAGAATTAGGGTGACACTCTCCTTTTGACTAAATATGATCAAATGGGAAGCCTCATGGCGTCAGGTGCATGGTGGGAGTGGAAACACTGTCACGGTAACGAGGTGTATAATGAAGCTGTGAGGTCAACAGGGGGTCCATTTCTGCGCCATCTTGGTTCTAACTGGTTGGAACTTGTCCTGCCTCCATCTTGTTTTGATCAGGGTAGTTTGAAACTTTGAGACATCCTGACTCAGTTTAACAATGTCTGCACAATTAAGCTATGCCTAAAGCAGTGCCTAAAGCAGTGCCTGCCAGTGCAATGTCTCAGTGGTACATCTCTCCCCTCTTCCTTGGGACCCTCAAGGCAGCTCCTCTAGTCTCTGCAGGGGTCAGTGGCTGGCGATTCTCACTCTCTGCTAGGAGACGGAGACCTGGCAGGCTGGCGCACTCGCCCTCATTGTAACCTGTGTAAATTATCCCCACCCCAGCCCCATTGGGCCACCCACTCCCTGGATTCCCACAAACCTCAACCTGCCCAAACATCTGGCAAAAAAGCTAAATGAGGTTCCTGGTACACAGTGAGTCCTGCAGCCCCAACAACAGCAGGTAATAACAATAGCACCAAAATCGACAGGGGTATGGGTGTGGGAGGCAGGGTTGTGGTCCAGTCTTCTGGCCTTGCCCCCACCCCACTGTCACATAGAAGGGCCTTCCTTGTCCTGGCTCCTCTCCAAGCTCCTGGCTCCCCCCCACCATACACCCACACTCACGCCCACACCCACACCCCAGACCCACTTCTCCTTTGCAGCTGCTCACCGCCTACACCTTCCTGCCATGGAGTCACTGGCCCGTGGGTAGGGGATGGAGAAGCAATGGGCCAGGGCCACTGAGAGCTGGCCCACTGGGGTTCTATGGGAGTCCTCGGGTCTTTCAAGCCAGAAACCTGGGGGACAGCCTCCCTCTCCTCACTCCATGGCTAGCTACTGCATCATGTTCTGCCTGGCCCATAGTGCCAGCCACCTTGCCACTCCAGTCACCCCATCCAGTCTCCAGCTCTGTAGTAGCCAGAGGGCCCTTGTGAGCACTGCTCAGAGGGAATCTCTCCCCTACTCAAACACCTCCTCACTGCAGGCCTCACTCCTCTGCCCTCCCAGCATCCCCTGAGGCAGTGGCCATGTCTGTCCCCAGAGCATGCTCCCTGTGCATCCTTCACCTCTCCAAGCCTTGGCCCATGCCATTCCCTCTACCTGGAGTATTTCTCACTCCCTCTGCCCCCGAGCTCCCTCCTGGCCCCTAGGCAGTTGCTTCTTCCTCAGTGCTCTGTTTCCCCCCAGCCCAGAGTGCTTAGGGGTCTGTAAATCCCACCAGCAAGCCCATAACCCTGAGCTCCTGCTGAACTGTGTCTCCCTGAGGGCCTCGCCAGCCCTTGCCCCTGGGGAGGAAGCAGCATGTGCTGAGGAGGGTCAGAGAGCCTGTGTGTGTGTGTGTGTGTGTGTGTGTGTGTGTATGTATCAGTCTGAGAGATGGGGGAGAGGCAGATGGGGGAACCAAAGCCTGGGGAGGACAGACAGACGAGGGACCTCAGTGAGACTCAGAGGTGAGCTGGCCAGGACACACACAGCCCTAGAGAAAAGGAGTCAGGGTGAGCAAGACTCTCTCCATTCTAGCCATAGTTTCCTCCCTAATATGCAGATCTTACTGACACTCCCTGCTCAAAGCCCTGTGTGGCTCCCTAGTGTCCTCCAGCCCAGAGTCCAAGCTCCCTGAGGCTCCAGTCAAGGCCCCAGCCTGGCCCTCTGGTCCCAGCACTCCCTGGACTTGCTGTTTGGGCCTTCAAGCCTTTGCTCACACTCCACCCTCCCTCCACCTGGCAAACACCTCTCACCATCCAGGATGACCTATGCTGGTCCCTACTGTGAGGCATTGTCCTGTGGGACTCCTCTGGGTGGACCCTCTGGGCCTGGTACAAGGTAAGGTGGTCACTCAGAAGTGTTTGATGTCACCAGCTCTGTCTGGGAGGAGCAGGACTCCCCAGAGGAGGAGGCAGGTGGGCTTGCAGGGAGATGGTGGGGGAGCATGGGGGCCACAGACTGGCTCTGTGATTTTGAGCAGGGGAGGCCACTCAGAGGTCTGTGTCCTGCCCAGGGACCCATCCTCTTCGTGGCCCAAGAGCAGGCTCTGGTCTGACCCCAGCCTGGCCTAGGGCCCACCCAGCTGGCGGCTGGGGGTCACGGTTGAGTGGTTGAATGGAGTAACCACTGAGAGAAAGAGAAAGAGGTCTGGGGTGGGGGCCCTGGGCTTGGCTGAGAGTGGTCCCACCCCGCGGGGCGGAGCGGAGGGCGCGGCCCCTCCCGGTTTCCTCCGCGAGGGCAGCGGAGCCCAACTCGGAGCTCGGTCCCCGCGGAGTGAGGCCGCATCAGCACCATGAGGCGAGGGGCCAGGAGGCCGAGGGGCAGGGACGGGCCCCCTCCCACGCCCTGCGACCCGGCCCAGTGCTTCGACCTGCTGGTCCGCCACTGCGTGAGCTGCAAGCTCCTCCGCACGCCGCAGCCGAGACCGGGTAAGAGCGACGCGCGCTGACGCGTGGCCTCGGGCAGCCCTCGGGGAGGACGGCGGGCCTGCCGCGGCCCCCAGCCGGCCCGCCCCAGACCCGGCGGGTTGATGGGACCCGTGGGCCGGGCCAGGACGGGGCCCTCACCGCCGCCTCTGCTCTCTCCCCTCGTGTCCGCCTCTCCCGCTGTCCCTCCCTCCCAGCCTCGCCTCCCTCCGCCCCACCCCGTCCCCGCGCGTCCCTCCCGGCCGCCCCGCGCCCTCCCTCCCTGTCCCCGCCGCCCGCAGCAGGGGCGAGCAGCGCGGCGCCCGGGACGGCGCTGCAGCCGCAGGAGTCGGTGGGCGCGGGCGCCGGGCCCGAGGCGGCGCTGCCCCCGCCCGGGCTGCTCTTCGGCGCCCCCGCGCTGCTGGGGCTGGTGCTCGCGCTGGCGCTGGCCCTGGTGGGCCTGGTGAGCTGGAGGCGCCGGCGGCTTCGAGGGACGGCCTCGCCGGCGGGCCCAGATGGAGGCCAGCACGGTGAGTCTCATCTGGGGAACCAAGGGGCACCTCGGACGCGCGGGGCCACACGGCCTGGGGGGGCCGTCTAGGGGAGACTTGGCCCTTGGGGGCGGGGGTCTGAACCGAGAGACAGGGCTGTGTGGCCTGCGTGTAGGAGAGTGTGCCCTGAGGAGCTCAGGCTGAGCGGGGAGACGCCCCTAGTCTAAGTGAGGGACACAGCACTGCCCTCCCAGACCCCAGGCGGGGAGGGACAGCACTGGGAAGTCCCGTCTGAGGGAGAGTCTGTCCTGCACTTTGGGATTCTGAGGGAGCTGGTCCCAGAGTAAATCCCTGTGGGATGGCCAGGCTGGGCCCCAGCTCCTATCCCTCAGGCAGTACTTCCCGCCTTTTTTTTTTTTTTTTTTTTTGAGACAGAGTCTCACTCTGTTGCCTGGGCGTGAGTGCCTTGGCATCAGCCTAGCTCACAGCAACCTCAGACTCCTAGGCTCAATGCGATCCTTCTGTCTCAGCCTCCGGAGTAGCTGGGACTGCAGGCATGCACCACCATGCCCAGCTAATTTTTTCTATATATTTTTTAGTTAGCCAGTTAATTTCTTTCTATTTTTAGTAGAAACGAGGTCTCCCTCTTGCTCAGGCTGGTTTTGAACTCCTGACCTCGAGTGATCCTCCCGCCTCAGCCTCCCAGAGTGCTAGCATTACAGGTGTGAGCCACCAAGACTGGCCCTGTACTTTCCATCTTGCCTGTGCTCTGTGCCACTCCTCCCTCCCACAGACGGGTCCCATCGCGTGGGGCTGCCCCCTCTGGGGAAGTTTCTAGAACAGGCAATGGAGGAAGGTTGTGGCCCAATACTGACCTTCCCTTCCCCACCCCCTGCCCCAGAGACCCTGGACAACGTCATCATCCTGTCCCCGGGAATCCTTGATGCCACAGCTCCTGTCTGGCCTCCACCCAGGGAAGAAGACCCAGGCACCACCCCACCCGGCCATAGCGTACCTGTGCCAGCCACAGAGCTGGGCTCCACTGAACTGGTGACCACCAAGACTGCCGGCCCTGAGCAACAATAGCAATGGAGGGGCAGGAGGTGGTCCCTGCCCTCCTCTGGACCCCCAGCCAGGGGCTTGGAAGTTGAATTTGGCTCTTCCCTCCAGCACCCAACTGCCCTTTTCCAGGGAGTCAGGCTGCCCCAGCTAAACTCTGCGGCACCACAGACACTACAAACCACAGCATTTAGCCAGCATGCAGTTGTTTGGTGTGTTAGTTTTTAGCTTAAGACTATACTGTCTTTGACAGCCCTTGAAGGTTGTATCTGAGCTTCTGTGCTTTTGAATGACTGGGGCACTATGAGTAAGAGATTTTTCTTTTAACGTGGGGAAGGCACTGTTAAGCCAAAATGAATCTGAAAAAAAGACCAAGTAGGAGGATGCTTAATTTATACCTGGGTATTGTATTTCTTTAATACTTGCTCTTAGAGCTGTCCTGCTTTTAAACCTATGCACGTGGCAGCAATGAGTAACCAGTTCATGGATTTGCTTGCTTTGGGACTCAGTGCAAGATTATTTTAGGAAATAATTGAGGCCGGGCGTGGTGGCTCACGCCTGTAATGCTAGCACTCTGGGAGGCCAAGGCGGGAGGATTGCTCGAGGTCAGGAGTTCGAAACCAGCCCAAGCAAGAGCGAGACCCCATCTCTACTATAAATAGAAAGAAATTAATTGGCCAACTAATATATATAGAAAAAATTAGCATGGCATGGTGGTGCATGCCTGTAGTCCCAGCTACTTGAGAGGCTGAGGCAGCAGGGATTGCTTGAGCCCAGGAGTTTGAAGTTGCTGAGAGCTAGGCTGACGCCACGGCACTCACTCTAGCCTGGGCAACAAAGTAAGACTCTGTCTCAAAAAAAAAAACCAAGAAATAATCGAGGAGAAAAAAAGAATCGTGCCAAATTGTACTGATTCTTAGGTATCTGTATCCCAGGGACAACCCTGAGATTGGCCCAATCTGCTACAATTTAAGATGCCATTTTGACCTCAGTGGCAGCTTCTGGAGGCACAGGTCTGCACGTGGGAGGAAATCTACAGCCTCTGGGGCTGAACTCCAAACTTAAGCTGAAGGAACACACTGGCAGGCAGCTCTCTCAGGCACCACCCAGGGTCCCAGTTTCGTCTGAGGCACAGCACACTCAGCCGTACACAGGGCAGGGATGGGACCTACAGGAGGCTCCTTCATACAGAGGCTAGGGCAGGCCTGTGGCCTTGAATCAGGTAGATCTGAGATCCTTTGAATTTCTTTCTCTCTATGGCCAGTCCTCCTGAAGCACTGGACCCTAAATGCTGGGCTCGGTTGGCCGTTCTGTGCCAGCCCCTAGGGTCACCCACCGACCCAGAGAAAAATAGGGGCTTGGATGCCAAGTTCTCCTCCTGCCCTGTGGCCCCCAGAGAAGCTGCTCTTCTCACAGCGGTGCTCCTTGCTCTGGGATCTGGAGCCAAAACTGTCTGTTCCCAGTCCTGGACCACACTGTGCACTCAGTCAGCCATTGCCTCCTGCCTGCCCTCCCACACTGGGTCAGAACCTGGACTCTGCCCTGGGCTGCTTCCTTGGAATTTATCATACTTTAGTGCCTTTGGAAGGAGCACTGGACTAGGAGTCAGAAGATGGCGTTCTCAGTACTGTTTTTCCCACATAGGGCCTTGGCCATGTTCTGTTCCATGCATCAGATGTTTCTGCCTGCATCTCCATGAACTGCCACCAGAACTATGTAGCAGACCCCTTGCCCTTCCTGCCTAACCCTTTCCCAGTTGAGAAGACAATGGCGTCCCCAGAACCTGGACACTCACATCCAGGTCTCTGCCCAGCTACTTGTTCCTTGAACTCACCTCAGATGCCCCTACCCTCAGGGAGCCAGGAGACTGGCTGAGGTCAGGTGGCAAGCAGTAGGCAGGGGTGGGGGTTAGGCCCAGATGGGCCCCGCCATCCACTCCTTCATCTGGGCTGGGGAAGTCTGATCTGTTCCTGGCCAGCCCACCTCCCACCCCGCCTTCTCCACTCCGTCCAGGGGCTAGGCCCAGAAGGTGAAAAGGGTGGGTGAAACCCCTCTGGGGCCCAGACATGCAAGCCTTTGGCACTTCTCTGTCTCAGCTGGCCTCTCCAGCTGGTATGGAGTTTCCCCTCTGATCTCAGTTTCTTCTGAAAAATAGGGGGTTGGATGCCAAGTTCTCCTCCTGCCCTGTGGCCCCCAGAGAAGAAAGACCGGAAGAAACCTTAGGGAGTTCTCACAGATATATACATTTCCCAGATGAGGAAACTGAGGCCCAGAATGGGAGAGGACTTGGTGTCATTGTCATCTAGCAAATAACAGATGGGAAGTTCCTTGGGGTGCAAACCAGGACAGACCAGTGGATGGCAGGCAAGGAGGGGTGTGGTGTCTCCCTTCCCCTGGAAAAGGGCCCCGAGGCCCAGGTAATAGAGAACAATGTTCTGTCCTCTGTCCTAGGCGTTATACTTTCGAAGGAGCCTTCACCTTCAATACTCATTGGTCTTCATAACAGCTCTTGGAGGAGTGGGGTGGGTGTTTGTGTTTGCTTAAAAATATTTTTTATTAAAAAAAAAATAAAGATAGGCATTTTGTAAACAATCTGGGAAGTTCAGGACAGTAATCCATGGTGGCGTCATGGAGAAATGACTCATATCCAGCAACACCAGCCCCCTGCGTCGTGATGTATTTTTCTACGTAATTGTAACCATTATGTCCAGGCAAAGTCATCTTTTTTTTTGAGACAGTCTCACTTTGTTGTGCAGGCTAGAGTGAGTGCCGTGGCGTCAGCCTAGCTCACAGCAACCTCAAACTCCTGGGCTCAAGCGATCCTGCTGCCTCAGCCTCCCGAGTGGCTAGGACTACAGGCATGCACCACCATGCCCGGCTAATTTTTTCTATATATATATTAGTTGGCCAATTAATTTCTTTCTATTTATAGTAGAGATGAGGTCTCGCTCTTGCTCGGGCTGGTTTTGAACTCCTGACCTCGAGCAATCCGCCCGCCTGGGCCTCCCAGAGTGCTAGGATTACAGGCCTGAGCCACCGCGCCCGGCCAAAAGTCGTATCTTGACTATTGTATTTAGTAAATTTTTCTCTCTGTAAGCACTCACAATGAGGTTTTCAATATTGGTAAAGTTTTCCATTTGAGCATTCGGTTATTTTCAGTTTTTGCTGCTGTGACTGAGGCTCTTTGCTTGTGGCTCTGTTTCCCAGGAGGGTGCTTGCACCAAAGGCCTTGACCTTTTTAAAGGCGCCCATTGGTCCAATCGCTTTCCTGAAAATCTGCACCATTTCACAGTGGTTGTGGCTTACGCCAGGGATGGAGGCCAGGCCCCGCTTCTTAGTTTTATCGCTACTCAAAAGATTTTTCTCCCCAACAGGTCTCTTTTTGCAGTAAGCGGGATCTCAGATAGACTCGAAGGACAGCTTGTTGGGGTGGGAACTGGCCTAGCCTGTGTTTCTGGCCAGTTTTTCCTGAAGGAGGGTCTGGTTTCCACCAGGTCCCCAGGGTCCCCGGCAGGTGGGGGCGGGGCTGGCTGAAGTCTCGGTTCCTCCTGGCGCTTCCTGCGGCCCCTTTCACTTCCTGCCTGGCAGTCCCAGGCTGAGGGCTCAGGGTGGGGGTGGGGAGGTCCAGCTGGTGAGGCCCGGGAGGAAGGCCTGACCCTCACCTCCCTCTTTCTCAGCAGGGATGGCCACACAGCACTATCCCTAGAAGCTGGAGGCATCGCTCTGGGCCTCTCTTTCCACATGCAAAATGGGGCTCTTGGGGGCCACCCAGCTGCCCTTGGAGTTTGAAGAGGTCATGCGGCATGTAGGGACAGGGCGATCCCTGCCAGGGCCAAGGAATGCCCGGGGCAGGGAGGCGGGAAAAGGCCTGGTCCTGACCCGCGGATGGGGCTGCGGTAGGGACTCTGCCCAGAATCATGCGGCGAGCCGGGGAGGAGCCGCGAGGAAACAGATGCCCGTGTTCCAGCCCGTGCGCCTTCCTCCTGGACTGTGCGGGGCGCCGCAGCGGTGGTGGCGGGGTGGGGAGGAACCAAGGGTCCCGGGGCCCCTGAGGATCTCCGCTCCTCTAAGCTGCAGAGAATTTGTCATCCAGCCCCGAATACAGGACAGTCCAGCGGCTCTGGGGCAGGCGGAAGTCTATATGCGCGGCTCCTGCGGTCGGCCCGGCTGGTGGCACCTTGACCTCGGGCCGCCGGGTGGCGGAGGGTATTCCGGCACGCAGAGGGTGGGGCCAGGGCGAGCGGCGCGGCGGAGGGACGGGGTCAAGGAGAGAGGTTGCAGGCAGGGGGCGGGGCCAGGCCGAGGGGCGAGGAAAGAGGGAGGGACCGGATGCGGGGCGAGACCAAGGCCAAGGGTGCCCACTTCTAGCTCCCGACCTCTGCGTCCGCGCGGGGTCCCAGTCCTCACGCGCGTCCCAAGGCCCAAGCCAGGAGTGCCCCGGACGTGGGCCACCGACCCGTCTTTAGGGCGAGGTGTAGGGCGGGGCCTCTGCCTTTCGCTGACCTCGGAGTCGTGCCCCAGGAGCAGCCGGGCTGGTCGGGAGGATGGGCCTGCCAGGTGGGCGCGCCGTGTGGCCTCCGCGGAGACCTGTCCTGTGTTCCCGCGCCACGGTCTTGGTGGCTAGCTCCGGGTTTGCACGTTCTCTGGGGTCTTTGGCGGGTCCTGAAGGGGGAGACTTATTGGGGAGGGGTCAGGCAGAGCCATTACCTGTGGCGTGTGGAGTGAGGCTCCCCAAGGCAGGTCAGGGTGCGGGCCGGGGACGGATGCATGGGGGTTGGGACCGGGAACTGAGCCCCAGCTCCCAGCCCCCCAATCTCGCCGCTCCCTCGAGACCTCGGGAGCCCGGGTGCCCCCTCCCTCCCACGGGCAGCTGGAGCCTGAGTCACCGAGCTGCCTCTCAGGAGACAAAAGCAGTCATGGGCCTTCCTTCCAGACCCCTCCTGGTGCCAGCAGTGGCACTAGCAGGGAGTCCAGCGTCCTGAGAATCTCTTTCTTGGGTCATTCCCCGTCATGGAGGATATGGTCGTGAAATGAGCTTAGGAATGAGGCCTTTGAAGCTTGTGGATGGCATCCTCCACGGTCACAATCACCATCCTTTCTGCCCGCAGTGGATACAGCGTCCTCTCACCAGGACGCACGTCCCTGGGGGCTTCTCCCTGTCGCCCTGCCAGAGAGATGCCGGTAGCGCATCTTGCCGGTGAGAAAACTGAGACCTAGAAAGGTCGACTGGGGAGCAGGAATTCCAGCCTGGTCAGTCTGGCTCCAAAGTGAAGGATAAATGGAAGCTTTCAGCTGAGGGGCTGGAAAGGCAGGATTGGGGTGTGCCCCGTGAGCCGGTAGGGGGCGCTTCCCGGAGCTCTGGGCGGTCCCTCCAGCTCCTCTCTGGGTTAGTACTGAACTGGCCAGAAAGGAGGTCTGGGGCTGACAGCGCAGGTTCCAGGCCAGACCCTGCCCTTCCTGGCTGTGTGCCAGTCACAGCAAGTCATTTCCCCTCTCTGGGTCTTGAGTTTCTAGGAAAACCCAAACCCTCTCCCCCAGACAGGGTAGGGCTAGGCAGAGCTGACAGACCGGACACCCACCACCTAAA